CAGCTTAATCTTCGCACCAAGCGCTCTCTTTCCAAATCTGTTCTTCTTCCTCGCGTGTGAAATCATTAGTAATGTTGAACAAGACACGAATCTCTTCCGGGGTTTTGCCCTGAACACAGTGTAACTGCAGGTATGCCCACGTTGACTCGACTAAAAGAAGGTTGCGTTCACATACCCTCATCATTCTGGCAACTAATTTGCAGGCACTGTCGAGAAGACCAGCTATATCCAGATAGTTTGCGGCCTAAAAGTCAAATCCCTAAAGCAGTTGACATTTTTTCTGCAAATCCTCAAACCGCTTTTATATTTCAAGACAAGCGAGGACTAGCGATGTAAGAATAGCTCATTTACGACAGAGTGCAATTTAGCTGTCTGCCAATTCAATCTAAGATCGACCTAGCTTAACGTGGAGTGGTCATCATTGCGATAACTCACATTCAGATTGTTTGGCTCGCTAAGAAAGAATACCAGACTTCTTCGTAAAAGCGTTTGACTACAGATTGTAAGGTTGACTGGGCAAGAAACTCTTTAAAAACAATATAAGTTCGCGAGATGGCTAGTGCGACGATAAAAATATACCTTTCTTGTGACCGCATGATAGCAGTGTTTATGTTACGCATACTCTAGACGTGAATGATGGAAAGCAAATCAACAGCAATCTTACCGGAGATTATTGTACATATAATTTACATAGTGTAGCATATTCAAAATCAGCATAACCCTATGAGCTTTATTCGAAAGAGATGAATATACATAATTTCGGTATTATTGAGAAATTTTTTAAAACTATGCCTAATTGCCATGCAGCCCAAAACGGTTCTTTCCGTGGGGTTCACCATGTGTCCACGCTGTCGTAAATGTGCTAATAAACTTCCCTTATATATTCTGATAGAGAAAAAAAGTTACCATTATGATCTCGAATAAAAGTCCAAGATCCACTTTAAAAAACTCTTTTTCCCACTGCTCCATTTCAGATTCGGGCGTGCGCGCTTGGTCAACTTCTTCATTTGCTGTCCAACTTTTCTGCGAGACAGATCCATGTTTCTCACACCATGCCACTACCTGTTGTAGCTTTTCGTTAGTCCACTTCGATGCATAGAAAAATAACTATTCTCATAAATTTTACTTGATAAATGATGTCCCCTTTGTGCTAAATATTTAAACTTCTTCTCCACTTTTTTCTAATTTGTCGATAGTATGGATGTAATTTTCTATAACACTGGCGAAGGACAACGAAAAATGCACAGTTG